AATCCGCCCTTCGGAATTTGGTCATTCACTGTCATGACTTCAGCTCATATTACTGTAACACAGTATCAGAGACTGGGTTGATTTATGAAGAACAGAGAGCGACTCATTTGGGCTCACAGATCTGCAAGATGCGATGCCCAAGAACACGATTCTAGCATTTGTTGGACTTTCTGGTAAAAGCCCTGTCCTGCTTCAGCTCATAGTTGAAAGCCGAAGAGCAAGTGGGCATGCACCGGAGAGAAACACCAGAGGCAGCCTGGCTCTGAAACACTCATTAATCCCTCCGCATGACCCAGTCACCTCTGAAAGGCCCCATTTCCCAGCTCTCCCACAGGGCAGTGGGAAACAAATCTCCACAGGCGTTTCAGAGGGGACAAACCTTGTCCAATGCCCTGTCCATCCCTTCCGGTACCTAGAAGTGCCTGTTTAGAAGGATTCTGCAAATCAGATCAATCAAGTGGCTCCTGGCTATTCACCCTCAGGTGGGCTCTTTTGGTCATCTGAGTCAGAGTCCCTTTAGTGTCAAGCAACACGAATGACACAGACTTACACAGAGAAGACACAGGGCGCAGAGGCAGCCAGTGACTATCATGTTATCCGAGACGTGTGGAAAATTACCACTTTCTCACTGGAATCTATAGAGTCACACGTGTCCAAGCTTGCGTGCGTTCATGAGCACATTTGGGCAGTATGCTTAAATTTGGGATGGGGTAGGAAGGACAGTTGTGGAATCTCTGATGCAGTAAATCCAGGGGAAGTGTCAGCTAAAGCTTTTGGGACGAGGCCCTTTATTTCCCTAGATTCTGTTTCTCAGAGGTACATCTCTAAGAGGATTTTCATGTGGGGTATTGGGGTTTATCCAGAATGCAGAGTCAGAGAGGGGAGCAAAACAGGGCTTCATTATTAATGCAGTCAAGCACAGACATTTCAGGGGATGTGAAAGCAAGTAAGTCAGACAAGCAAGCTGGAGTGGTACAGAAGGTGATTGTGAATGAATGAGCATTCTGATTTCTAATAATTTAATAAATAGCTAGCAAGCAAAGACTTAGCATATATTAAAATATGATTTCATGTATATTACTGTGTAGTATAGAAGTGATAAAAGATTTTCTTAAGACCATTCAAGCAGAAAAAACAAGCCTACTGAAAAGAAAATAATTAGAAATATTCAACATGCAAATACGGCAAAAATGCAGAAAAAGTTTTATGAATGACTGAGCTTTGGGAAAAGCTAGGTTAGCGGACCGGATATAATGTTTAAATGAAATACTTGCTGTCCATTATGTGCTGCAGATGAGTGTCTAGGAAATGGAGTTGCGTACTTTATGTTTTGAAAGTGGGCAAGATGAATCTCTCCTGGTTGCTGTCATATTTCCTGTGCTAAGTCAGCCGTGATTATGGAGGCTGTGAAGAGAAGCCTGTGTTTGTCCAGGGCTCCTGGAGGTGTGTGGTGTGTCATAGACATAATGAACGGAAGACACGACTTTTCACAAGAGCGCTACACAAAGGGAACGGCAGGGCAGTCACCAGGAGATGACTGAACCAGGCCTAGTGGTGTGGCCAGCTTGCAAATGGTAAAGCTGCTTCCCATTCTTTGTCCCTTTGTCAAGCAGCATTGTGGCTATTCTCTTCCGGGAGCAAAATGCAACATCTCACACCAAATTTATGGGCTTGACAAAGTTGCAAATTTTATTACGCAAACCTTGAGAAAGAGCTGCGCTGAAGGGTGCTAATAACAGCACACTTTGTTACTGTGTAGTCTCTCTGTTTGGGACTCACGGTGTTTTATTTATAGACATCTATTAATACAGAGGCAGAGATACAGAAAGAATACATAAAAGAATATAGCTTTACAAATAGTTTCCATCGCTGGATTGTAACATGAAAGGCAGGAGCTACAACTGTGAGCTGCTATTCAGGGGAGAAAAAACATCTTGTTACCTTTTCTCTTCCTCTGGTCTCTTGGGTCTGGGGTGCAGGACTCCCAGGAGCCTTTTCCCTGTTCTTCTTTGAGCGGGGCGCAGAGTTGTGCCTCCATATTTATAATACCTCCATGTTTATGCCTTAACCCAGCTTTAGAACTTCCTCTCCTACCTTCCTTTCTAATAATGCCATAACTGGAGGTGAGATGGGAGCTTCTAGCTTGCAAAACTGGTTTGTTGGGGCTCTCTTCCCTCCCCTCTCCCTGATTCTTGTGAAAATATCTTGCTGAGCAGCTTGCTAGAAGTGCTACAGCAGCCTTCTCTGGGCTCCACCGAGGGTACCCCTTCCTTCCACCTGCAGACGGTGCTGCTGTGGCAGACAGAGAGGCAGGGACGGAGGGAAAGGCAGAACCCACCCCTTCCTCCAAGACACACATGCACACACTTAAAGGGGCCTGAAAATATAGTTACACTGCATGAGCACCTTGCAGACACAGGATTCAAAAAAATGGGGCAAGATTATATTTGGAAAGATATTCTCAGGTCTAAAATCCTGCTTTTTTATTTATTTTCCAGAAGCTCTAGAGGGCTGGGATCGAAGTGGGTTGCTGCCCAGATTTTGTATTTCTAATTTGAATACAATAGCAGGGTGACACAGGAGAACAGGGGGGGGGCAGGAAAGTACCAGCACGGTTAGGTTATGTGGGAGCTGCTCCCCTGAGGTGGATGGTAGTTGGGGTTGGACACCCAGGTTACAGGCCAGAGGCAGTTTCCTGGAAGGGGCTGGGGACAAATTGGTCCTGAGTGTTTCCAGTGTCTGGGGGAATTTGCCTGAAGGCTAAAAAAGAAGAGGAGGGGCCACCAAGTTACCTTTCCCAGACATCTTTCTGCTGCTGGCTTAGGGGCAGCTTGGGTTTTGGGAATGTGACCTCAACTTTCCCATCTCAGCTGGTTTCAGGGAAAAGCAGACCTGTTCAAGGGGGAACCCTGGTCTTCCGGGGCTGGGTTGAGGTGAGGGAAAGCCCACTACCCCATCCCGCAGAGGCCTGGTGGGTGGAAGGAGGCATCTGGGGTGTGGGAGGGATGGCAGCCTCACCTGCATCTCCCTGCAGTGCCTCTCAGGAAACAGATGTCCTGCACCACCTGTGGGTCCCCAGATGCCACTTCCAGGGAGGCTCAGGGGACCAAGTGTCCCCAAATCTATAGTTTCAATGATGCTATAACAATCTCTGCTGGATTTTGGAGATGAAAAAGTGATTTCACGGAATCCTCATGTGTTGTCAAGGAATGGGTCAGTATTAGAACTGCTCCCCCACCTCACCCTGTGCCCAGTGGGGGAACTGAGGTTAAGGAGGAAACAGATGAGTTTATCCCCTAGGTCCTAGTCAGAGACTCATCTTTCCCCTGTGCAGGGAAGAGACTGTGAATCCACTGTGGAGGCCTGTGGGGGCTCTCTGGCAGACTCCCGTGCAGCTTGGACATCCTGGACATTTCCATTTCCCTCCAAGGAAAATGGAGCTTTGCACGATTCACAAGGCCATGTCAGCACCTGTGTGTTAGTGGCCTGTGGTCACGTCCAGTCCAGGGGGCACCTGAAGGTTAAACAGCCAGGAGCATGTTTTGAAACTGCCACCACGTTATGAAGTGTGGGTTGTTATCTGATCATAACTACATGGGACTCAGGCCTATCCTCCTTCCCAGGAGCGCCTTTTGCTCTAAATGAGGAAGGGGCTTCAGGAGAGCTACCCGTATGTCGCAGGAAACGGGTGTTCTCGGGGTCCCCTCTCCGTCTGAGTGCCATTCCCTGTCCTTCTTCAGCTTTGGCCACTCATTGTTTCCTGTCCTGTAGAGGCGGAGGCTTTTATTTATTTATAGTTTTGGTCCTAATGAAACACCAGCCCCCCAGTAGCTCTCTATCTCCCTCTGCTGTTCTTCCCTGACACTTCTTAAAATTGTGGTCAAGGAAATAAATCAGACACAGGAGCTTAACTCCAGCATGGTTTCTCTCAGGGGACAAACTCACAGTAAACATAAAGAGCCAAATAAAAGATAGATAATAGGCAACAGGGAGGCAGATCTTCCTGACACGGGAAAGGGTCCAGAGACGAGAGAGAGGAAGGGGGTGGAGGGGAAGGATGGGAGACAAGGGATTAAGATGAGCTGGGTACCTGGACCAACATGGGTACAAAGCATGGAAACGGGTACAGCAGACAGGGACTAATAACAATTTTTAAAATGCTATTTTAAAAAATCGATAATATTGGCCATGGTGCAATTGCCAGATGAGCGGGCACAGAAAAATTGTTTTTTCCTGGGGGCTTCTAAATAGTGACATGGGGCCCCCCTCCCAAATGGGGCATGTGCCTGACAGAGCACTAATGTTTTTTAAAAAACAATCTTTCCTTCTTGCCAATCTTTCTGACCTTTCTTACTGTAGAAGAGAAACCTTCAGTTACTCCCCCCACCAAAAAAAAAAAAAAAAAAAAAAAAAAAAAAAAAAAAAAAAAAAAAAAAGACGGCGGAGGGGGCTTGCAGGCAGAGAAAGCCCTGTGGTCTGTCTAAATAATTCGACCCTGGGCAGGGGGCAGCGAAGTGCCAGTGCGTCCCCTGCCCTTGTTGGATGGAGACTAAGTAGGTAGACATAAAAGGAAAATAAAGCTAACAATGACCCCCCCTCACACACACAATGCCGTCTATTTAAACTGTAACTCATACTTCCCATACCAATGGCATGACTTTTTTTGTGTGGAGTCCCTTTTCTGATTCTTGAACTCTGGCTGGCAGCTTGCAAAAGGGGAAGCTGACTCCAGCCCTGCACGGGCAGGTTTACCAAAGTCTCTAATGGGTATTTTCTTTTTTCTTAGCCCTGCCCCCAAATTGTCAGACGGCGGGCGTCTGCCTCTGAAGTTCGCAGCGATTTCCTTTAGAGCAGGGCCTTATCTCCAGCCGCACGTTGCCTGTTGGTGACTAATAACACAATAACATTGTCTAGGGCTGGAATAAAGTCGGAGCTGTTTACCCCCACTCGATACGGGTTTCAATATAAAAAGCCCGGCGGAGAGCTGGCCAAGTCAGAGCGCTTGTGCCTGCGCCTGGCGAGCGGTCCGGTCCGCGCTGTCTCCTCCGCCCTGTGCGCCGCAGCCCGCTCGCCTCTACCTCCGAGCCGGCCTGGGGAGTCGCTTTTGCTCCCCCGGAAAGCGTCCTAGGCTACGGGATCACTTTAAACTCCGAATATTCTGAAGTGCATTGAGGAAACTGAAGCTGTTTTCTTCGTTTTTCCTTTGAATTCAATTTGCAAGGGGAATTTAGACAAAAATGATTTTTTCCTCCAGAATGGATTATTTCCCTGTGATTTTCCCCCTGCTGTTGGTGACTCTCCACGGAGCTGCAGAAACAGGTAAGCACGCTCGCTGCCTTGTAAACTTTGGAACCTCGGTGTAGTCTGATTCACCTGATTGCACTTTCCGGCTGGCTTCTGTTTTCGCCCTTGCTGTTCAGGTAGCCAGCGTTTGGCAGGTTTTGCTCACAGCTACTTCAGGGCTCTAGGGAACAAACGAAACTACTGACCGCAGTGAAATGTAACGCAGCTTTAAGAAAATGCACGTTATTATCCTTGCAGAATTTACTTCCTGGGTTTCTCAAAAAAACAACTCAAGAAGGGCGCAGGGCACTTGCAGTTTAGCCCAACGCGTGTTTGCAGTGCGCGCGTTCGTACAGGTACACGGTTACGTTTGGGATCTTCTGTCCTATTCAAACACTGTTTTAATAGTGCGTGAAGGGGGCAGAATAGTTACACATGCCAGCTGGAAGCCAAGGAATTTTATTCAAGCTGTCTGAGGCATGCGTGAACAGTGAAATCACCTGAAGAACAGGAGCGCGCTGAGTAGCCTCTCCCCAACCCCCTGGCGGTTTCAGGGTGAAGCAGATGTTTTCTTTTAAAATTTGTCATTATTGACTTTAGGCTTCTTTTGGCAGGTTTTTGGCACCTAAAACAGCGTGAGCGCTGTTTTCAGCTGTGTTCACCTGTCCTGGCTGGGGATGTGGGCTGGGAGGATTCTGGCTGCCTCGGGATTTACACAGTGCCTGTGTATTTGCTGTGTGGGTCCCTTTTTAAGGGGGGCAGTGCTCCTTTCTTTTGTCTTTTCATGACCTTGGCGCAAGAGACAGGCTGTCAAGGGGATGGAAATCTTGGAACGTGTCTCATCATCTGAAATGTGCAAATCTGGCCAGATAAGCAGCGTGGCAGCTAGGCTGTCAGCGGCCTGAGGCAGCACTTGCACTGGGGAGGAGAGAGGCGGGGTCCCCCACGCAAGCCACACTGCTCCAGGATTCCGCATTCCAGATCCACAGAGCCTTCAGGTGTGGCCGGAGCTGCTTCTCAGCTTCCCTGTGGATCAGTGGTGTCTGGGGATTTTCCCACCCGGAATGAGGATCATTCCCCAGCGCCTTCTGCTTCATTTTAAGAGGGGATCTTTCATCCACCAGCCACTCCATGCTCCCCATGAGGTGTGAGGTGGTGGTGGGGTACCCCGGAATGAAAGCTCAGCCCTGAAAGGGAGGTAGTTCTACCCCGAGGCAAAGGCAGTGCGATTTATCTATCTTTAGTCTTCATCCAATGTTAATCCACCATGGTCAGCGTGGTCCTACTACGTTCCAAGTCAGCAGTGGGCTGTGCCAGTAGGGCTGGTCAGTCTCCAAGTGAGTGTTAAGGTCTCCCTGCAGGTGGATAAACCAGCTGGGTAAAGGTGAAGTCATGTGAAGGAGGGGAAAAAAAATTAAAGAGCCGTTCCCTCTGTGTTTCTTGCTAAGGGCAGCTGAAGGCTTGGTCTGCTTTTATCTGCTCTGCTAGATCTGGCGTAAATACTGCGACCTAGCGTGTCTGGCAGCCTGTCTGGCGTCTGGAGCGACACCCCCACTCATCGAAGCTCTGTTTCTCTCCCTGCAGTGGTCTCTGGAGCGGAGCTCAGCCTGACAGCAAACAGTGGAGGGGAGAAGACCCCTCCTCACGCCCCCGGGCTGCTGCGCAGGTCCAAGCGCTGCTCCTGCTCCTCCCTGATGGACAAGGAGTGCGTCTACTTCTGCCACTTGGACATCATCTGGGTCAACACTCCCGGGTAAGTCCCTAGAGGGCATCATAGCTCTAGCATTCCTGGGCTCTGGCTTCCCTAGGTTTCGGGGGAATTCTTGGCTTGGGTTCTGAAGGTAGCATTCCTAACAACAGGAAGGCGTATTTAGTGGCAACAATGTTTCAGCTTTCAGAAGTGGAGCAGGGAGACCCCAGGGCTCAGGCTGCTCATTATGGGATGGGATGGGTGGAAGTTGCCGCACTCAGTCCCTGAGTGAGGAGACACAGCACATGCTCCTATGGGAGGGTCGGGCGTGGGTTACAGAATCAGCCGGTGAGGTCCTGTGTGCATTTCTGCCCCTGCTTCTCCTAGGAGCATGGAGAGTGAGCCTTAAAGGGGTTAGAAAGAGTCATCATCATTCAGTCCCTTCATTTTATTTATAGAAAAGCTCTGATCCAAACTGGGAAAGTCCCTTCGGCAGCAGTGAGCTCCACGCAGAACTTGCATGGGGCCTGGGAGCTCCTTTTTTCTCTGTAGAAAAACCTATTTAATGACAGAAACAGAAATAGAGCTCAGCAGCTACACTTCCACTCACAGAGTAAAGAAAAGCAGTGTTTCCTCTTTGTGACCCCACGCTAGATCATCCCTCAGAAGCGGTCACAAAGAACAGTCTATCTGTCATGGCTACAGTGTCCATTGTGGCGAGGGAGGACAGAAACCCAATCAGATGGAATCAAATCACCCTAAGCCTAATACCTAATAAGATAGTATGCCCAAAAAGTGGCCTTTTTTCCCCAGGTAAGAATCAAAATGGACATATTGCAAATTATTGGAGAGATTCTGGCAATATGTCCTTCCTCAATGACAGGATGTCATCTTACTGCAGGAGAACTCTGTAAACACCAGTCTCCCCCGAAGGGGTCCCCTGTAGCTTCATCATCTATGATTGAGATCGAATACAGGTCTTATAAGTCTCGATTTTGCATCAGCTTCCGTGCCCCTGGCCACTCCCCAGTCCCAAATAACTGCTAACCAGATAGAATATTAGGAAAGGAAGAAAATATAAAACAGACACCAAGGCAGAGATGTCCAAGGCAGAGATCTGGACACAAATCAATGCTGCTTGTGCTGATAAGAAATTGAACTTTGTCAAAGAGTTGGTCCAGAATTTCCTTCAATCAAAATACGAGTTTTCTCTTGGTCGGACACCTGCATGTTCCTGGTGTTGCCACACTTTAAGTGGCTGCCCCAGAGCTGTGTGCTTAGCTCATTGTGTGGCCGATGGAATGAGCTGGCTCTAGAGAATGTGTCACTTGGAAGATTATTAATTAGCTAATGTCTTTTGTTCCTCTCTTTCAATAACAGGCATATTGCTCCTTATGGACTTGGAGGCCCTTTCAGGTCCAAGCGATCCTTGAAGGAATTATTTCCTACAAAGGCCACAGAGCATAGGAACAGATGCCAATGTGCTAACCAAAAAGACAAGAAGTGCTGGAATTTTTGCCAAACAGGAAAAGAACTCAGGTGAGTAGAACAACAGCAATGATTCAAAATAGTACCTTTGCATCCCAGTCAGCTGTGTGGCCTCCGGACGCCCTTCCTAGTGCAAGGCTGCTTTTCTGGTTCTGGAGATCCTAGCAGGGATGTTAGTGTCAAGGTGAATCTAAAGATTCTGCTGCTGACATGATTTTTTTCCTGTGTGTTTTAACAGCTCCCAGGACACCATGCAGAAAGGCTGGGATAACCACAAGAAAGGAAAAGACTGTTCCAAGCTAGGAAAGAAGTGCATCTCCCAGCAGCTGGGGAACGGAAAGAAAATAAGAAGGTAAGATGTCCGAAGAATGGCCAAGGCCTGGCCACACCTCTAGTCCTCCCCACCTGGGTGGGGAAAAGGCTTAGCATAACATGGCAGGGGGAGCTGCATGGTCCATAGACTGCAAAGAGCAAAGGAACCCCACAGGCATTCTCACAAAGGCCTGGGATGTAGACTCCTACTGTACTTTAGCACACGCCATTCATGTTTCAGGCACGTTTTCCAAACCAAATACATCCAGAGGCAGTTCTTTTATTCAGTTATGTCTAGTTTTTCCCTTCGAGTGAATTTAATTTTGTTTGAGAAACTAAAAAATTCAGGGAGAGGACATTTAACAAAAAATCCAAGTCATGCATAACCAAGTTTTGCAAAAGTAGCAGTTATTCAAATGGCCACAGGGCAAAACAAGTCATTAGGTAGGGTTGGGGAGACTCAGAACATGCTGTTTTCTGAGTTTCTTATTATTTTTTAAGTAGAGAAATGCGCTCGTGGAGAATCCATGTCATTTCAGAAAGGTCTCCTAGGGTTACTGTGAGCAGTTTTACAGGGGTGATCTTTCCCAATCCTAAGCTTTTTGGCACTCACAAGTTTGAGGGAGGAAACCTTCGTTCTGATCTATCCTCTCTTCTGCCCCCTCCTGTCATGATCTATGGGACATTTCCTGAGAAATTCAGAGGTTCTGTGATGGAAGTGTCCAAGCTGAGGCATGGCAATCATGAGGGTCTCATGAGCTTTTGCAGCTCACTGTGGTCAGCCTTGGTGACCCCTGCCACCACAGATTCTAGGTTCGGCATCCTGGGCCAGCACTGATTCTCACTGGGTCATGCTTGCTAAACTGACTTGGGAGTTACTATTGTTTCTGTTAGTTTGTATTATATCAGCTATAAAATCACTGCAAAAAAAAAAAAGAGTAAAAATAAAAATGAGAGAAAACCTTAGGCCCACAATTTTTAAAAATTGCTACAAGGATTTGTTTTGGGCCTGCCTGTATGCTTTTTGTTTTCCTCTCTTTCTGTATGTTACCAACAGTTTTTATGTGACATAGAAGGTGTCCAGGATTACTGGGAACCTGAGCTGGGTTTCTGCATAGTTCAGAGACTCTGGAGATATGGGTATAGAAGACACTAGCGCATGTCTGGTTTATTTTAAAATTGGATTTAATGCCCAGTTCCCCTTAGACATGACCATAGGACTGCCTCCCCCATTGTAAGCATTCATGGTGAGCTTCACTTCACAGTGGAGATTCACACCACTGGAGGTTTTATCAAAGGGTAGCATGCTGCTGCTGTGGTTGGTGGTGAAAGTTCAGGATCCAGATTTAGATTTGTTTGGGCCAGATTCTAATTTAGATGTTTCTGTAGTCCAGGAGTGACTTGCATTTGTTTTCCCCTTTCTTGTTTTAATAGGGTGGAGGCCATCAGCAACAGGATCAAACCGTCTTCACCCTTTGCAAAGTTGAAAGCCATGCTCTGCAAAGATCGGAAAGTGACCCACAACCGAACACATTGATCATAGTTTCTGGGCCTACCTGAAGCCATCACCTTCAGAGAAAGAGCCCTGTGGCCAACCATGCATGCTTTCCAAGCTGGCTGGGATCAGAGCAAGAGAACCCTCCCTGCTTCTACTGCATCTTGTTCCAGAGTGGTAACGGATCAGAGTCCCTCTTGTAAGCATCCCCAGAGAGGTGAAGGCATCCCTCAGCCTGTCTTCCTTTGCTTCCATTGGTGGTAACTGCTTTTGTCTCTTCTTGCCTTTCGGATCGACAATGGATCTCTCTGAAAGCAGGACACACAATGCCATTCGAATTAGGGTGGCATCCTCCAGAAGGAGGAAGGAGATTCCACAGGAGGGCGGAGTTTCTGAAGGGAGTGTTTGCTGCGTCTGACTCAGGCGCCTGGCACATTTCAGGGAGAAACTCCAAAGTTCATGCAAACATTTCCTAAGGAATGCATAAATTGAAAACACACTCGAAAGACAAACACTCGAGTAAAATAAAAAACAAAAAAAGACTTGGGTTTTTTTAAGTCGTAAAATGCAAAATGGAAAGAAACTGTTACTACTGTAAATCAGGATGTGATTCATGAGTATGAGTCTACCTCAGCATTATTGCACTGTGGTTGGAGGATTTCCCACCTTTAATTATTGCTTTAATTATTATCTTTTTCCTTCTGCCACCAACCCCCTTGGACCCCATGTTAGCCGCGCAGAAGTCTGTCCCATATGTCCAGTAGTAGTGAAAATATTTTCATGCTAATCTAGTAGCTCTGATCCATAAGAAAAAAGATCATACAATCAGGAGCTTCTCTTACCTTGATTTTTTTGGAAATATAATGGTATAGGGGCATTTATGAAAGATATGGAAAAGTAAGTATTGATTATGCTTTAAAGCAGTAAAATTATTTTTCTTTATGTAACCAGCTAATGGAAGAGGTTGGACTGAATTTTGATGTACTTATTTTTTTAGAGATATTTATATTCAAACAATTTATTCTTTATATTTACCATGTTGAATATATGTCTGGGCAGGCCATATTGGTCTATGTATTTTTAAAAACATATATATATATATATATATTTCTGAATGAAATCAAGAACATGCTTTGTTTTGCCTGTCAAGGTAATGATTTTAGAAAATAAATATTTTTTTCCTTACTCTACTGATTTTGAGTCATTTCTGAAATTCCCAAAAGTGGGCCAAAGGGGTAAGAATTGGTTCAAGGTAGTTTCTTAGAAAGGTGATGGTTAGAGGAAAAATAGGCTAATAAACAAAAGAGAACTTGGCTCTTGACTGTGTCTGAGAAGTTGTTTTTATTTGCCATTAAGGTAAACGCAGCAAAAACTAAACAAAACCAGCTCTGTCTCCCTCTCTTCCTTTGAATGGCAGCCTTCTGCTTCTCTTCCCGTGAAATACCCTCCAGAGACCTCGCCATTTACTTGGCTGCACACATCCTAGGCAGGATCCCACATCCTGAGATGATGGGGCGGTGAGAGATGCTTTCTCTGTATTAATGGGCTGAAGGAAGAAATGGGAAAAGACCCCCAAACTCCCTAATCACCCACAATTGCACACCACTGCTGCTGTTAGGAACCAGTCTGCCTGCTTAATGCAAGTCAAAGCGCCTAGTAACACATTTTATTTGCACTGTTTATTAAGGAACACTGCGTACCTCTGCTTCTCCGAGGTAACCTAGGCTGCCTTCATGCTGGTCGAGGTAGAGACAGCGTGCTGCTTCTGAGTCCCCTCCCTAGGCTACCAGCCTCCCTGCCTGGCCTCCTCAGTCTATTAGCAACTGAGCGGCATTGCAAATGGTCATTACCAGCGGAGCTCCTAGGAGCTTGATGGGCCTTTGAGATTTTCCCTGCTGCTCTGCTCTAGTAGTGGCAGAAAGAATGCACTCAACAAATATTGGTTCATGGTGATCACTGTTGTCCTAGCAATGACACATCACAAAGATGTCTAATAATAGTCCTCATGCATGCAGAGCTAATACCCTGGACGGTTTTCATCTTGACTAGTATTGTTTTCTTTTTTTTTTTTCCCTCATCGACTTTAAAAAATTTTTTTAAAGCGCAGTCTAATAATGCCTTTGGGGAACTGCTTTTCCCGAAGCTCGCTTTTCCTAGAAGCTGTTTCTCATCCTGTGGCTGTGCAGGGGTGAGGAAGTCTCCCCAGCCTGGACCAGGCACTCACCTGAGCTTGGTCACTGTTGGATCTCAGCAAACTGTTCAGTTGCTGGCATCTTGCCTTCGGGGGTCCCTCATCAGTGAGGGACAAGGAGCTTCAAGAAGACGGAGATTCCAGGAAAGGGAAATCTGCAGTTAGAGAACGTGAGTCTGATACATTTAGGAGCAAGACAGGAGTGGGAAATGCCAGTGTGTAAAATAGCTCAAAGAGCCACAGACCAAGTAAAGGGGATGGTTTGTTTCTTTGGTAACTTGTTCTGTTTTTGGGGGTACAGGGGCCTGAATCTCAGACTGAGCCACATCCCCAGTTGCTTTTCATTTCTTATTTTGACACAATCTCTAGCTAAATTGATAAAGACCAGTGTGAGCTCAAACTTGTAATCCTCCTGTCTCAGCCTCCCAGAGTGCTGGGATTACAGGTGTGTGGGACCATACCTGGCTTTAAAAAAAAATCAGTTATACTCTTAAGTTTTCTTTGCTTGTGCTTCTTGCTTCAGTAGCTAACAAGCAAGATGAAAGGAATCAAGCAACTCACAGTAAGACTTGAAGATTAGCAATAAATTGGGAGGTTCATAGAGAGCTCATATGTTTTTAGACATGTAGAGGGAAGCTTCAGCAATATTGGAGGGCCACACAAGGTTGAGGGGTGAACTGATTGGAGAGTCTGGCACTCTTCCTACTGTTTTTTCTGGTACTAAAAGCACAGCTTTGGGAAGCCTGCTTGGCACAGATTTCTCTCTTCACATTAAAGACTCAGCAGAGCTTTGATCTCAGGACCCTAGACTGGGGTGTGATCTGGTGTGTGTGTGGGTTCACTAATGACTGGTGCACTTTTCCCTAGGGGTTGGCTTCTTTTTGATGCAAACCATTGGCTGTAAGCACCTGTACTTGGGGACTCATACTCAGCAAGGGCTCCCTGGCGAGATCCTAGCTTACACTGAGAAAGAGCGCTTGTCTGTCTTTCCAAGTGGAAAAGCCAAGGCCCAGAGGGAGGTGTCTGACCTAAGATTATACATGGAGCTGTTACATCTGTGGAGCCTGCCTCCCTCATCCACCTCTCTGTTCTTTCTCCTCTTTCTCCTTTTGTGCTATAGGAGATTGACCTCAGGGCCTTGGCAGTGAGTTATATTTCCAGCCTTATTTATTTTTATTTTGACAAAGTTTTCCTAAGTTGTCAAGGCTGGCCTCCAACATGCGATCCTTCTGCCTCAGCCTCCTAAGTAGTTGCAATTTCAGGCATGCACCTTGACACCTGACTGAACCTGAACTCTTGAGCTCCATCCACAGAGCTGGCTGGGTTACTTGGAATTCAGTGGAAACAGATGCCCAGGCAAACCTTAATCAGAGGTCCTGGGTGGCTAAAGCAGAATCAGTCTAGGAAACCTTTGCTCCCTCCCTGATAAGGGTTGGTGGCTCATTGTGAGGCGAGTAAGGAGAACCAGGGCTGAGTAGCTCAATGGTTACTGCAGGTACAAGGTCTTGGGTTAAATCCCCAGCACAGCCAAAAAAGAAACATCAGAGAGGAGAAAAGGGGCTTAAGGAGGCCTACATAACTGATCACATCATTAAATGGATTTCTATGCGCTAAAGAATATAACCAGGAACTTTTGATCATTAACGTTTTTAGATTTAGTTACCAAATCATCTATCTCACATGGGTGAAAATCTCTTGATTAGTTGTCCTTCTCTGTAATAGAAAGCAATGCTTTTTAAAATTTCTGTGTTGAAGGCCCTGAAAATACATATTTTAAATTCCACATTCTCAAAAGAGTGGAACATGTTGCTATCTGTCTCCTGGTCTTGGTGGAATCCATTCTGCCTTAGTTTTCTCTCAACCTTGCACGTATAGTTCCTGGGATCGTCTGTCTAGACAATGACCTTAGAGATTTCGTGATAATCCCTCATCTTTGCAGAGAACTTGCCTTTCTTTACTGTTCTTACATTGCTTCTCATGTCATTCCATCAGATTTTTTCAGGAAGCTGGGGCCACATGGCTTACCCATTTGACAGCCAAGGAGACTGTGGCAGCTCGGTCTCTTGTGGTCACCTTGTAACACCAGCTGAACTGAATCAGCGTGGTGCTGGGTGTGGAGGGCCAACCTGAGGATTGTTACCAGCATAAAAAGCAGAACTGGAGAGGAAGAAGGGGTGGTGTTGGTTCTTCTGCTGCCATTGGTTCTCCTTGGAGGAGTCTGTTGAGCTTCTTTCCTGACATGAACTTGGCTGTTCTCATCAGAGGAGCTCAGGACCTTGTTGTCACTGAGAACGGCTGTGCTTCACTTTAGGGGAGGGGCTCTGGTTTTTACTCTGGGCATCGCTTCCTGGCTCCAGAGGAGAAGATGTGTGCTGTTCAATCTCCAGGAGAAGTTTATCACGCTGGTTTCCTGATATAAACTTGGCCGTTCTCATCATCAGTGGAGCTCGGGACTGTGTCACTGAGAATGACTGTGCTGCTTTTCAGGGGAGCCCTGGTTCTTATTTTGAGCATCACTTCTCAGCCCCAGAGCAGAACCCTCAGCCTGCTAGCACAGATCCTTTATCCCACTGGCACGGACTTCCTGGCTTTCACTGCTAACTTATGGGCCTTCTCAGCACAGATCTGTGAAACAGACGTGCATGAGACTCGGTCATAGATCTTCAACTGCATTTATGCATGATATTGCTGTGGGATTCAGGCCCTTAGTTGGATTCTTTGAGGTCTTTAGTGTGTGGTAAGATTTCCTGCACTTCTTGTATCTAACTTTTTGAGTGATTATTGTAAAATAATACTATAAATTATGTGTCCAGTATTGTCTTGTTCTCCGTGCAGTCCCTGAGATAGACAGAACCCAAGTGGGAGTGTAAGTCCAGGGTGCTTATACTAGGCAAATAACAAAATAGGAATGTGGGGGTGCTATCACTTTTTTCTTAAATTTCTACAGAATAGAGGGGCTAGCATTGGTATCTCAGCTTGGAGAAATGTAGGTTATTTCCAGTTTGCAAGTGAGCTACAAGTGGCAATAACTTTTATTATTCATCAAATTTCCATGGGTACCCTGAGCCCTAGATGTCAGTATTTCAGTTCTGTGATATTTTCTTTGCTACCTCATCTTACTATGCCAAGGAGCAGTTGGCAGAAAACTTACCGTGATGTACAATGCCTGCCAACGCCTGGCTGTGGAAAGAAATCCCAGGGTGAATGTGACAGCTGCGACCCTCAAGTTTCCTCCCATCCTGGGCAATAATCAGAGGAAGAGCTAGGAGTGGGGCCACTGGGTCATGAAAGCAGAGAGTCCAGGCCTCGGGGATATCAAGTGAGAGAACAGATGGGTTCCCAGCATGATAGGATGCCCACAGGTGGGACAAGCAGCCTGTCAGGAACTGGCTGTGCAGTTTTGGTGGCTCAGGATCTCTGTCTCTGCATCTTGTTTTTCTCTTTCATATTCTGAGCGATCCCAGCCCAAACTGCTATGTGAGTATATAGGAATTATATTCACACTGCTCCTGGTAAGACATAGGTGCTGATCAACTGCGTTACACTGGAACAGAGCTCTGATCAGGCTCCTAGTCAAGTCCAGTGGAATCGGGGCTTAAGGTTCCAGATGTTGGCTTGTGAGCAGATCCTGTGGTCTGGGGAAGAACAGATACCCAGGGTGAAAAATTCTCGGGCTTCTTGAGGTTATGGTTATTTACCAACAAAGATGAAATTATTTCAGCGTTTCATGAACTTTAATAATCTCGCTGATCTACACTTGTGTATGTCAGACTCAAAGAATCAGAGTATTTTTGGCTTGGTAAATTATTTTCTCTACAGTGATACTGAGAGGGGTGACACTGTCCTTTCTGCTGCAGTAGGATTCCTCCCATTGTTCATGTTCCCCTCTCCTGAGATCTAGACTCCTTTGGCAGTAGTGGAAATGCTCTATGGTATTCTTTGTCTCCTTGGAGGTTTTTAGCATGGCAAACTTATGGCCACCAAACTCCAGGTTTCCCT